TGTCCGTTCTCTGCCAAATGTTTAAGTAGCCAAATTGTATCAATTTTACAAGCCTCCTTTGATGGGCTGCAAATCATCATATCAGCCACATAATTTAGATGGGCCGACCCTGCAGGGATTTATAAATTATGTAGATGTTCCTAAGCGCTTCTGTGGAATACACCTGACTTCCGTGGTAACCCACTGGACATCCTATCCATTTATAGCCGCGCCCAAAAAAAACAACCCAAACTTATGTGTTCTTGTTTGGGTGGCTATACAAGTCTGCGTGTTATGTGTATTCCTCAATGAGCTCTACTGTTCTGTGTACACTTACTCGTGTGATCAACGTAGTGCGATCTACATTACCACTAGCGCTATACTCTTCATGAGGATCCTCTGCACCCGGTCTGAACTTTAGGCCGAGACGCTGTTGCAACCATGGACCAAGATCCTGTATCCCAGTGAGATGGTTTAGCCAATGAAATGTGGAGTAGAATCGAGGAACACCTTTTTTTTTTTTTTTTTTCCTTTGGGAAGGACAGAGAGATACAGACACCGCAGCAGCCTCCTCTGACCAATACACATGCTTCAACCATAATCTCTCTTTCTCCAACTTTTGGTCATGCCATATGTCCACATACCTTCTATCTCGCCCTGTGCTTACATGGGATGTGCAATGTAATGACTGTTCATGCATGTAATCTTCTACCGTATGTGTATGCGCAATTTTACATGGTCATGAGTAATTAATGCATCAAAGTATGCCAGTAGTTTTCATCCATATACATACAGGAGGGTTTTTGGACTGTAGTTACACATCTAAAATAATTGCAATTTAGTTTTTTTTTTTTTTTTTTTTTCGTGTGTGCCATCTGATGTTGAGCTCAAACACAATGCCAAATGCTCTTGAGTCAACTACAAGTGTTACCGGATGGCAAGAAATCGTCAACGTTAATTATGGGAATTTCTGAATATAACTCGACATGCAATCTAAGATGTGTGTGTGTGCAGTTGTGTTAGCGTTTATGAGTGTGTGTAGGGTGCGTTACTTTCTCCTCCGTGGTGGGGTGCTCCGGCTCTGGGGTCCGCCCCTCCCTCTGCCTCCCTCAGTCAGACGTGTGATGTGTCTCATCCTCATGTGCTCAGGACACTCTGCTCGCCAATGTCCTTGTTGTCCACAATTGTAACACACGTTTGGATCATAACTCCCGTAAGTCCGATCTGCCTCTGCCACGATCTCTTCCATAACCTCTTCCTCTTCCACGTTGGCCTTGGGCAAATTGTTGGCACTGCAAGCACGTAAACATTGCATACTGAGCCTTTTCAAAACCTTTTAGTTTGTCCTCTTTCTTGTGTAACTCATCTTCAGCGTGTTCAGCGTGCTGAAGGATGTCTGCAAGAGCACACGTTTTCCAGGTTACACATGATCTCTTCACCATCCGTATAAGCTCAGGTCTCATCCTGCTTATAAAATGTTCTTTCAGATGGACTTCATATGGCATCAGGGGCTGGGCCCCCATTGGATCAGGTCGCTTAAGGCCACTGTGGATGTCAAAAGCTGTCGTCAGGCGTGCCAGGAAGGAGCTGCATGTTTCTTGTGGCCCTTGTGTCATAGAGGTGACGGCGGGGAGGTTCAGTCTCAGAGGAAATTGTTCTTTTACCAACACAATGAGAGCATCTACAGCACTTCTAATGTCCACATCTGTGCCGTGCTCACAATCAGGATCTTTAAGGCGAGCAGCCATTCTTGTGGTGTTGAACACACTCTGAACCTTGTGATAGCCATGTGTCAGAAGTCTGCACATCAGACGCCGCAGCTCTGACATGCTAGGATGGTATTTTCTGACAAATTGCTGAAAATCAGTCTCCAACTTAGCAATATTGTCCTTGGGACTGCAGACGTGGCTCATTGCCTTGTCACATTGGCATCTGACCAGGGTCTGAGAACCAGCATCGGCCCTTGCGCCCCCTCGACTGGAAAAGAAGCTGCAGGATCGAACAACATCTCTTTTTTTTTTTTTTTTTTTTGAGCAAGGCCCACCTTTGTTGAGCCTGCGAGCGGGTCACAGTAGGTGAAAAGGTCGTCTGGCTGGTGTTTGAGGTTGAATCTGGCTTCCCTCCTGGTGGGCTGTTGTCAAGCCGAGGAAAGGTTGTTTGTGCTGCTTCCTGCCGTGGAGACTGCGGGCTCATGAAGGCGGGAGCTGGAGGAGCAGTGAGGGGAGGGGGGGAGTCCAGATCCGTGTCCACCAATCTCCTCAGGAACTCATTAAAACAAGGATAAAGTGTTTTTGGGTTAGAAGGGGTACACGTTTCAGAACTTTTTGTAGGATCTTTGGTCTTTAATGAATTAAATGCTACCAACCTCTGTCTCTCCCTTCTCTCCGACTCATACTTCCACATCTTGAAAGCTTCCCAATCTGCCTTACATACCACATTCTTCTTCTGCTTTCTTCCCGACAGGCCTGCATGCTGAGCTGCATCGTTCTCCTCCTTCCCCCTCAGTTGCAATTCCAACTGCTCCAATTGATTCTTACTCAAACTCCCCTTTGAAGGAAACCCCAATTCAACCCATTTTTGTATTTGATTCAAACTGCCAGGATAACGCTCTGACATAAATTTACACAATAGTGGCAGGATATTAGTCTCATGGTTATCACCCGTCTCCCCTTTACTCTGAACACTACCCATTTAGCTATCTGTATCTGTATACAAGGAGTGTACGCGCCTATAAAGGTGCGCACAAACGGAGAAATACCACATGCATAACTAAGGCAAGTCAGTGACCGTTGCTTTCTCTGGTCACTCAGTCTACTGCATCGATCCAAAGTTGCGCCTGTGAACTTCAGACACAGGATGTTGCAACTTTGTGACGAATACTACAGGTGACCCAGACACGTCTGTCTACAACACACTCGTTGTGAGATAGGCCTAAAACCCTTTTGTCAATGACTCTGTCTGCCTTAAAACAATTTTGATCTCTCACCGCATGTTCTTCGTTTCTTTTTCTTGAACTGGATGGATCGGTAATCCGGGTCTCGTCGGGACGGCAGCTTCTCACCCTCAGGGAGGAATCACCTATACTATATGGCCTCCTGTCCTTCCGTCAGAGTCCAGATCACGCGTCCATCCCATCCTCGTCGCCAAGTTTGTGGTGGAAATTTGTGGATTTAGCCCATGTGAGAAATCAAAAGTATCTTGAGCTTGCTTTGTGATTAAGTATTTATTACTAACTAGAATATAGAAAAATGATAAAGAATACAGAAATCATCAGCACAAGCCGTAAGCACAGACAGAAGTCAAATGACTACAATTCAGCTGAAAAGGGGCAGAAAGTTCCTTCTCCCAAAAGGAGCAGGAAGTTTCTGGGGGGAACCAGGAGCTTTTATACATCTCTGAAGGTTCGAGGAATGGTAACCAGATGTTGTTTCGGGAACCTCCGCGACCCTCTCTTAGTGGACCAAGTCAATCATAGTGACAGACAGGAAAACAGAGGAGAAAGGTAAATAGAAGAACATGATATGGTCTGTCCAAGCCACATATGGATTTCATCGTAGACTAGGTCAGGTCACGAGTTTCCCAAGAAAGGTCACATACGAGTTCTTGAGACTCTCACAATATGCACCTCAACAAATTCTCCCCCGACACATTGCAGTGATCGATCACCTACGGGTCAATACGCTTTGAGCTGAATGCTGGGTTCACTTTGTCTTGTGTTGTGTGCAGCAGTGACTGAGGCTGACATCGAAAGAGTTCATTGATTTCTAGTTTGTATTTTGTTCTTACAATGCTGTTGCTTCCAATATCATTGGACTAATCTCTGGTGGGGACGAGTCCGCCTACAGGTGGGAGTCTGACCATCTGGTGTCGTGGTGCAGCCAGAACAACCTGGAGCTTAACGCTCTAAAGACAGTGGAGATGGTTGTGGATTTCCGGCGGAACAGAGCCCCACCCTCCCCCATCACGCTGTGTGACTCCCCCGTCACTATTGTGGATTCCTTCCGTTTTCTGGGCTCCATCATCACCCAGGACCTCAAGTGGGAGCTGAACATCAGCTCCATCACCAAGAAGGCTCAGCAGAGGTTGTTCTTCCTGAGGCAGCTGAAGAAACTCAACCTGCCAAAGACGATGATGGTCCACTTCTACACGGCCATCATCGAGTCCATCCTCTGCTCCTCCATCACCGTCTGGTACGCTGCAGCCACAGCCAAGGACAAGGGCAGGCTGCAGCGTGTCATCCGCTCTGCGGAGAGGGTGATTGGCTGCAATCTGCCGTCCCTGCAGGACTTGTTCGCTTTCAGGTCTCTGAAGCGAGCTAAAAAGATCGCGGCCGACCCCTCCCACCCCGGACAAAAACTGTTTGTGCCCCTTCCATCTGGCAGGAGGCTGAGGTCCATCAGGACTACGACCTCCCGCCACACGAACAGTTTCTTCCCGTCGGCAGTCGGGCTCATCAACAGAGCCCGGTCCCCCACTGACTGACTATAACACTCCACCGGTCACTCCCCCTCATACTGCACATGCCACTTTAACTGCAATTCATCACTTTGTCACTTGTCACTTTGTCTCTTGTCTGTTACTTGTTTGTTAGTGCACTTTATGCTTAATACTTTTCTTTAACTTTTTAATATTTAACATTTTTTAACTTTATTCCCTTGTTTTATACTAACCCATAGCCTTAGCCTTATTCTACTAACCCATTGCACTAGCATTTCATTCCACTTTATTTTATTACTTGTGCACTGTTGTCTTGCTGTCTACTGTCGCGCACTAACCGCCAAGACAAATTCCTTGTATGTTTGACATATTTTGGCTAATAAATGTTTCCTGATTCCTGATTCCTGAGAGGGTGACATTTCAGTCTGGCTTTGTGTTAATTCTTCTTAAAACTGAAACAAAACCATAAAACCAAATATCAATTTCCCAGGCCGGGCTTTGGACCAGACTAAAAGCTTATTGAAGTCCTGACAGAACAGAATTATTTACTTCTTTTTTTTTTCCAAACAATTAAATGTGCCCAGGTTTACGAGAAAGGAAGCAACGTGGAGCAGTTTGTGACCCGTTTCCTTCTGAAGGAATCATCCAATCAGATCCAGTCTCTCCTGAGCTCCGTGGAGAGTGCCGTGGACGGCATCGACGAGCAGCACACCCAAACACGGTGAGCCAATGGGGGTGTCGGTGCGTCAGGCTACTGAGTGTAAAAATATGTGTGTGTGTGTGTGTGTGTGTGTGTGTGTGTGTGTGTGTGTGTGTGTGTGTGTGTGTGTGTGTGTGTGTGTGTGTGTGTGTGTGTGTGTGTTGTGTGTCGTTATGTGTGAAACCTGGAAGTGTATGTAATGTTCTCACACACACACTCTTTCTTGTTAATTGTATTTTCATCACACTTTCTCTCTTTCTTATTCCTCTTCAACATTCTATTTCTCCGTCCAACCATCTTTCCATTGAAATATTTAACAAAGGTTTTCTCATAATCTAATTCTTCTCGTTTTTCATTTCTCTTTTTGTCAGTCTGCCTGCCAAAGTGAGTCCACGGATGTCAGAGAGGCGCAACGAGAACGCCGTCCCCGACTATCCCCCCAACAACAGAGTCAGCGCCGGAACCATCAACACTGCCTCAGGTGACAAACACACAGGAGACACACACACACACACTGCAGCAGCGCTTTTGACTCCATGGTTTTGGGGGGCCACCCGCTTTTCCTGTACTATACTCTACTATATACTGTACTATATTGGGTGAGCAGAGATTAAACTCTTCTGCTTTTCAGCAGTTATTCATCCACATTCATGCACACACACACACACACACACACACGCACGCACGCACACACACACACACACACATACATACTCATCCCTACATAATTGACTCTCCATTGTGAAAACTCTCAAACAGCCACATGCACAGGTTTGATGCAAATGTCCACAAGTCGGTGCAGATAAGGAGGGGGGGAAAGAAGAGGGGTGAGTGAAGATAAAGAGAAAATGTAGATGTTCAGATCAAACCTTTAAGGATGTATATGAGTCCAGTCAGCACGTAACACTCACATTTTCTGCAATGTAATGTTGATTTTTAATGGAGTGTGCGTGCGTCTGTGTGTGTGTGTGTGTGTGTGTGTGTGTGTGTGTGTGTGTGTGTGTGTGTGTGTGTGTGTGTGTGTGTGTGTGTGTGTGTGTGTGGGTGTGTGTATGTGTGTGTGTGTGGGGGTGTGTGTGGGTTGGGGAGCGTAACAGTAACTCAAAGATTTTTGGCTGGCAATTCCCATCAGGATGTGAAGGACCCTCATTATTCTTTCTCTTTATATTTCTTCCTCTTTCGCTGCTAATCATCCTCTCTCTCTCTCTCTCTCTCTCTCTCTCTCTCTCTCTCTCTCTCTCTCTCTCTCTCTCTCCCTCTCTCTCTCTCCCTCTCTCTCCCTTGCTCGCTTTCAAGCTGTCACAGTCGTCCTCGCTCCACCAGCTGGTAGTTCACTCGGTCGCGCACGCCTCGCCTTGACACTTTGACACTCAGTGACACTTTGAAAAGTTGTCAGGACATGAAATTGCCACAATGCAACACAAACTTCACACGGCCAATCGGCAAACAAAATAATACAGCTGACTCAAAGCATTAGTGAGGGGAAGCTTCCCAGGGCAAAGCCAATCAATCCCTCCTTAAACGCTATTGACACGTGTCAGTTAAAGGTGTGGTCTCAGGGGAAGTGTGTCGTGTTGTCAACGGACAGCAAGTTTAGAAAAGTACTCACACGCTGTGACAAATGTTAGAGATACAATACACATTGCACAATAGGTTGCAGCATTGCACTCACGCCACAAATTGGAGTGGGATTTTGTGATTTATGGGCTGCATTTAAGTGGGGAGAGCGTTTCAAAGCTTTTGCTTTTGCTTTGAAGAGTCGAGAGTAAAAAATAAAAGATGAATAGAAAGAGCCTTGTTGTAGAGCAGTGGAGCATCCTTGTTAATGAAGGATTTTCCTGCATATAATGTGAATGTTTAAAGCATCGTGTCATATACTATATGACAGACGATTTCAATACACATAGAATTTTAAAAGAGTTTAGCCGAAAAGGTGCATGCCACTAAAGAATACAGGTGTACACAGGTAATGTTTGTGCTGAGCACTGAGAAACTCTGTGAACTAATTAGTGCAAGATATTTACATTTCATTTCATTCCATCAACTGTTTTGAAGCAAATGTTGCACAAAAACAATGAATTATTGCACCCCGGCTTCTCTTCATTTCTTTTTTCCTGCCCGTAGGCATCAAAATGTTAAAGAAGATCAGGTAAACGCGCAAAAATAACTCTTTGAAGCGCCGTTCAGAGACGACAGCTCCAACCGACGGCCCGTTCTTCCTCTTGGTCCAGCCGTCAGTCGCCGGCGACGTGGGATACATTTGCGCTCACGGCCTGTCAGAGAAGGCCTCTGAGCGACGACGCACTGCGTGGCGTGGAAATACTTATGGCGCCATGTGTTTCCAGCACGAGTGCTCCCCACATTTACAGTCTTCCCGAAGCGGCGCCTGATCTCAGGACTTTCCTTGTTGGTTTCCGCTCCCTGTGCAGCTTCCGTGTTCGGATAAAGGCATTTAGTTGTGTTTTTTGTTGTTGTTAGAATTCTTCCATTAAGTGGGACTGCTAGACTCACTGCGCTGTAGGCTTTAGTTTACACACATGCCCGCGAGATTCAGAGTAGAAGATGATGTTGTTTTGGCAACTCACTCTGCCCAAAACAGCAATTTGGGTTCATTAATGTCCGTGTAGAATTCCGATCACGTTGTTGTTAATGTTTCCATCTGATAAACTCTAGAGACGCTAAAGCTAATTAATCCGGCAAAGCAAATGGACTCCTGCAGCTCAAAGTCACCATGAAGAAACCTGAACTAGTAATGTCTCAATTTACTATTGATTAATCGCTTTATCCGTAGTATCGACTGTGAGAAATATCTTTCCGTATTTCCCCCGGCATATTGGATGAAGCGTCCCCCCTCTCTGCTGTGACCACTGTAGCCTGCAGGAGACCATGATGTCGGCTGCGCTTTGCCTCGAGTCGGAACAAGTTGATTGATGGATGACTGTCAAACCCCGTCTCCCTGTCCTACACCCTAACCTCCCCCATCACACATCAATTACTCTGCACTCCTGAGGCATTGTTTCCCTCTCTCATGCTTCTCCCCCACACATGACGACATTCTGCAATGCACTTTTGTTATTTCTGCGTTTCACAGAGCAGTGTGTTTGTTTTCACTGCGAATTGATCTGAGTCTTTGTAGGGAGACGGGCAGAGGTGTGTCGGGGGGGTGGTAGTAGCAGCAGAGGAGAAAAAGCAATGAATGGGAGGCGACTAAAGGGATAAGAAACAAAAGAGCGAAGGGGAGGGGAATACGGGAGCTAAAAATATCCTCCAGCACGAAGTCGAGCAGCTTGTGCCATGTTGTTTAACACACAATGACACAGTGACAAGTGACACTTTGCTGAAGAGTTTTTAACGTGAATTATCTGCAGTTTATTATCTCGTGCTCTCTCAGGCACAAGCCTGTGGGTCTGTCCAAGTGTGTGTGAGATCATGTACACCCGTACACCCAGAATGTGTGTGTATCCTTTTGTACATTTCCTTTAACATTTCGCAGGTATATCCCTGCAAGCAGAAATTGACATGTAGGTAATTTTCCTCAAATAGTGTTTGCGTGTGCACATGCAGCTCTGCCTGGCGTTATGTGACTGAGATGGAGGCACCATAAGCGGCCCACTCTGCTGCGACGGTCGTCATGAACAGTGCAGCTGCAAGTACCAATAGAACATATAATACACTGTTAATTTATAAATAAGCGCTCTTTTTTTTTACACCGTCCTTGTAGTTATACCGTTGACTATTATAATACCATCGGTATGAAGTACTGAATATTGTGAACCACTGAGATGATGCATTTTGATTTGTTTTTCTTAAATATTTTTTTCTTCAGCTCCACGTATTGCAGATTACTTTGCATCCACATTGAATCTCTACATTTTTGGACATATTGCAAAAGGTTTTGCAACAGGCAGAACATATTTATATATTTTGTAGATGCTACAAAAGCTTTGATAGTGTGAATATAAAGTTATACAATAGCAATCAAGTGTATCTACATCATTTTCTGCTCCATTACTGTTTGTCATGCATTTCAAGTAACTGCTGCTAAGCTTGACAAATAAGACACTTTGCAAAGAGATGTCTGATATTACTGTATTCTGTGATTTCTTGAAAAATATAGTTTAGAAGCCATTTCAAATATACATTCACAAAAGGGTAGCACGGCTAACAGCCTCTAATCATTTGCAAATAAACCAAATTAAACCAAATCAAACCGTTACCACCTCAAAGGGTGAATGCTGCTATGCCGAGCAAATAACATTTAAGATAAGATAATTCTTTATTAGTCCCGCAGCGGAGAAATTCACAGGATCACATCAGCGAAAAGTTAAAATACAGACAGACTAAAACAAGATAAAAAACTATTATAAATAGTGATAAAATATCAATAATCCACAAATAAATATGTACTAGTGAAATATGTTACGTACAGACAGAACTATTAAGTGTTTGTATAGCGCAGTGTTGATGCTGGTGCACATATTTAAAATCAGATAATATGCATTCAGCAAAGAATTGTTCCCCTTCTACACCAAGTAGTAGCCGTTTTTTCTTTTTTCAAACAGAGAAACAACCATATTTATGTTATGTTAAGTTACGCTGCCATGTCGCCTGTGTCAATGCGCTCCTTGCTCGGCCCTTGAGGGGGGGACCAGAGATGACACAGTGCAGCCATTGGACCTTCAGCGCGCAGCAACTTGTGCCAAACATACTTAAAAACAACAACAGACGTAAGCAAGGTCGAATAAACATTTGTGAACTTTAGCGTGTTAGTGTAATGATTCGTGTGAACACATTTGAATACCGGTGCACACAACGGGAAGTTAAATTGGGTGAATGTTGATTAACTCAAATCAGGTTTAATTGAGGAGAAAGCCTATAGAGACCCCCCCTCCCGTCCCCCCCGCCTCCCCTCACCTCGTTGCTGTAATTCCTCACACACTTTAATAATTGAACTAGACACTTAACTTTCTAAGTCTGTCTGAATGACCACTGGGCTTTTATCTCCGACCATCTCCATGGTTACAGGCTGAGTTGACGCAAGTGTTTGCGGTGGAGGGAGGAAGCTCCTAATTGACTGGCTGTTAAAGCTTTTAATGAAGAGCGGTGCAGCCGACGCTCCAATTAGCTGTGAGGGGCCATCAGGGGGTGAAAGAGGATGGCAACCCAGGGGCGAGCGCAGGAGGGCAGTGAGGAACCAAGCGAGGAGAGAGGAAATGAGGGGACGAGAAGGTGAAGAGAGTGGCGTGAGCAACGTGGTGGCAACGCGGTTTAATTTTACATTTTGAATCGCTAAGACTAAAACGAGAACTATGACGTTCATCTTTCGTTCAATTTATTTTGACTGAAATCCTACTTCTTTAGAATGAATAAATAAGATGCTGTGTTCATATTATGCTGTTTAAAACAGCTTGATTTTATCCTGCTTATACATCCATAGTAAAGTATTAAAAAGCATCAATGCACATTATTTCATTGGCGGCTTTCATTGCTACAAAGTAAACACTGCCAAAGTGCCAAAGTGAAATATCGCTAAAAGACCAAAGATAATTACAAAGAGCTCATTGGAATACGAGAGCACCTCAAAGAAGCAGGCTTCCCATTCATCTATTCCTTTAACCGTCCAAGTTCCCTCCGATAAACAGATAGAATTGTCTATTTATCAGCCTCCCACTTTACATGAAATATTCATGATGGCGAAAAATAAATGAAATCAGAGAGCAGTGAAGAGGAAAGAGCAAAGATAGCGTAGCATCATGTGGTATGATCGTTCAGGTACTGCATGGTACCTGCTCGGTGCCAGTTTGTCAACTGTAAGACAAAGATAACGCCACCGCGCTCACATCTGAGCAAATGTAATCGCTGCGCAGAAACGGCCCATGCAGCTCAATGCACCGGTTGGCTCCTTGTGTTTAGGTTGTGTGTGTTTGTTTGTTTGTGTGTTGCAGCTGCAGTAGAAGTGAGGAAAGAGGGTCTGGACACTCAGATCAACCGGCTGGCTGAGCTGATTGGACGCCTGGAGAACAAGGTAAAAACACACGTGCACACTTGTGCTTGTTTTGGTTGCTTGTTTCGTTGACTAACATTGATTGCCATGAACCTCTAATTAACGATAAGCACCACATTCCCAACATCAACTGTAATTAAAGCCTTTTTAGGTTGGCAATATACAATATTTTTCTTATTGTGAACAAAGGGAGAACAGATGACAATGATTTGTTTTGGTTAACTCTTGCCTTTGTATCGAAATTGTGGAGGATATTGTTTTCTCTGTGCAATCGATCATTTGTTGTCGTCCAAAACCAATAAGAAGACGTCAGTGAGACACAACAAGAGACTGGTTCCTTCATCACCATGGAGACACACCGCGGTTCATTCACACTCACACGCAGCGTCCTGAGCTGTACACGATCAACTCTCGCTTCTGATTAAACCGAAGTGGTAGAAATTACAGAGGAATATTTTTCCCATTTGAAGAAATGAATCGTCAGTAAGAGCAAGTCAATGCGTATGTTAATGTGTGACGCTTTTAAATATTAATAAGTCCACCGAGCATTTCTCTTTTACCTGATTTTAAACATCTTAGGTGCCTCGAAAGTGTCCATCTAAAAGAAATATAGGAATACTACTGGAAAGTATTGAGAGACAGCCGAATAAATCGCATAAATGCTGAAACAATGGAAAAACAAACTCTGTTGCACTTTTGGTTTCTCTTTTAGATTTTTAGCTGTGCTCATCCTAAAGACTGCGAGCGCTGCTCTATCAACTAGAATCAGCCCCAGTCAGTGATCTTGTCATCGCACTAATCTCCTTTTTCACTAAGTTGTCAGCATGTTGAGGATTTGTACATCTGAGATGCTAAACTGTCCAAATTGTACGATGCTGCAGCAGCAGAGTGAATTTCAAGGTCAAGGACAGTAAAGGAGCAGTGAGTTGGATAAGGAGTCAACTAACAATGCAAGATGGAGAGGAAAGGGTGGAGGTAGGGAGGGGATGAAAACATAGACAGAGAAGGCATTTAAAGACCTTTTGTCCAAACGTCTCGTGCCTCCTCATCCTTCTCTCCTCCCCTTCACCATTTTTACCCCCTCTGTCCCCTCATCCCTGCCCTGTTCTGTGTCTCCTCTATACACTAAGCTACGTAACTGGCTGTTGGCTGCGTCTTTATATTTGACGTAGGGACATCAAAGTGGTGTCAATCCTTTTAAGTAACACTTAAAATGAGAGAAAATTGTAGCATTTCTGAAAGATTATCTTAATCATGCTCAAATAACATAACCCTTGATAACATCAAGAGATTATATGAAATACCCCCCACTTCTCTTCAGTCTAGACTAGAAACAGTTTAAAGATGCAATTCTCAGTTTATCTTCAGAGTAAAATGGGTTTTTTTTAGTACCTCACTATAAGTACCTCACTATCAATCATCCTTCTGCCTAAATTAACATTTCTCTCGTAAATGCTCATTTACTTGCCAAACTTAAATAATATACAAGAAGAAAAAGAAGTTATACAACATGGCTTTTTTTTTTAATACATCCTATCATGCTTGTATAAGTCTTGCCAAGATGCTACATTACAAGATGATTTTCTTTCTGAAACAAGAAAATTGCTCTCAAAATGACCCGTCCAGTGATAACACAGAAAAGCCCAAAGAAAGTTTACATTGTACTTTTATTTTGGAGACTTGTTTTTTTCAGCATAAGAAAACCTAATGAATGGACATTTTCCTCTGGATTACATCTTCAGAAGGCCAGACAACCGCAGGAATCATATCAAAACCAAACATGTCTTTGAGGAGGCATATTGAATGTGGCTTTGCCTCTCTGTTTGGCCTCAGCATTACCTACGCGGACGCCAGGATTAAGGCTGTCGGGGAGTCTGGTCGAGGAAATGATATTATCACACAGCGTCAGGGTGTGAGTTAGGATGCAGTGTGTCCGGCTAAATCCCACTCCCCGCAAACCATCCTCAGATTGGCAAATTCATGTTGCTTTTGGTCTGACTTTTTGATTCACCCACGTCGTCTCCCCCCTGCCTCCCTGTGGAGTTTGGTTTGTTCCCTCGGTTTACAGAATATCACTATTTATTGCTCTCTGTGTGCCACAGATGAGAAAACGTGTTTCTCACCTCAACAAAGCTCTCTCAGGATGATAGAATTTGAATTTAGTTGCTCATCGGGCGTTAGCGACGCCGAGATAAGGGCAGATAAGATGGCTTTCTGCTCCTTTTTTGCAGCAAAATAGTCTTTCATCATTTGAACTAGACTCCAAACCGATAGAAAACCGTAAAGCTTTTCGTCAGCTTTTTTTAATGTGCAGAGGTGAAAACTTCTTTCTTTATAAGCCGCTGTCACAGGATAAAACAACAGACGTCGGCGGCAACAGAAATTCTTCAGAAATCAAATAACGCAAATTCATGCAGATTAAAAAACATTTTAGCAAGGACCAGTATGGCACGCCAAAAACAAATGTGGGTGGTTTGTTTGGTTTGTTTGTCCATATTCTGCCAAAGATTGTTTAAGAGCTCAAACGTGCCTCCGTCCACTGCTGTCGTACAACAAGAGCAACTTTTGCTGCAGTGCACAAAACTTCACCAGAGCGGAGGATTAAACCTGGAGTGACATAGTTTTCAATCTAGGCCTCGAGTATTTGCATCAAGAAATATAATAATATTCATTCATTTGTCTGAGCAGTTTTGTCATGAACCAGGTAAACACAAATTGTGTCTTTATTGACATTTACTTTATTTTTTGGACAGTGATGAAAAATAACTTAATTCCTAATTCTTGCATTCTGCAAAGAATATTGGATAATACAAAGATAGGAAATTAAGTCCTGCAGTCATTGATCATCAACAACATCCGTATAACGAAACAAGCACAAATCTTCTCAATTCGTCTGATTAAATGTCTGTGTAATGGGACGTGGGTCACTTGCATTGACGCACCAACGGACGCTGCTGACGCTGCGGTTCCCCTCAGCTCTACGGGGCATTTTGCAGCTTTCTTGTTCAAGTTCCAAGGGCAATACGTCTGCAGTCAACTGCAACTGTTCACGTATTGTCAACAGTTGCAGTTGACCATACATCTGCAGTTGGGAACGTATTCACTGGCAACCAGCTGTTGCAACCTGCATAGCACCAAACCACAGACCACCATGTTAGACGGGAGCTAACATGGTGGAGTATTCAGCATTTTTCTCACATGTTGGTGTGGAGTATACTGAACTTAAACGTCATCGGGTGGAAAAGGGTGTTATGGAATATTTCAATAAAAGCTCGGTAGAAGAGAATGATTTGTCTGATAAAACAGAGTCTTGATGAATGATCAAAGTTGCAAAAAGTCCATTTATTGCTTGCAAGCAGGAGGTCAAATACACAGGCACGTATCAGGGTGCTCTGTGGAAATGGCGTCTCCGAGCACTAAAGACGCTGAGTTTTTATACACATGTGGAGGACATTCTTCGTGCCAGTTACGAGAAGCTGCAAAGCAGGTTGAGATAAGAACCCAGGTGAAGCTGAGGGTAGCACACACACACACACAAGATCCGCAGTGGCCGGTGCAAATCATTATTAATTGACATGAAAGTAAAACTTGGATCCGGAACTTTCGTACCGAATAAGATATGAACCAAGGCCATGAACAGAAGTCCTTTGTTTTGAAGCTTCTATGAGATCGAGTCGACCGTCCTCCCTTCTCAGGGCACAGCTGCAAACTAACATTTTGTATCATGCTGCTCTTTGCACATCAGGGTCAAATACAGGACACTTGAGACACGGCTTTAGCACAAAAATATGTTATAACATATTTTTACCATTACAAGGGACACAGCTTCAATGCGCACATTGTTATTATTGGTACCCTGCTCATACATGTATGCTAACATATTAGCGTTAGTGTTAACAGCTGAGCCACCATCAGTGAATGGAGCTTCAAAAGGATGCAGCCATTACTCATATTAGTTACCAGAGTTCACTTTCTATTGAGTGAACAGTGTCTGTTGTGCACACAGAACCTTCCATTTCAGTTCAGTTGCGACCAGTCTGTCACATTCAACTTAAATCATTTTATCCTAGAAGTTTCTGGTATTTTTTACATTAACAGTTTGCGTGTGTGTGTGTGTGTGTGTGTGTGTGTGTGTGTGTGTGTGTGTTAGTTTCCCTTACCTGCTGTGTCGACTCGTTGGCATTCAACTGTCCTTGCTGTTGCCGCGTTGGGTGTTCTTCTCCATTACCAACGCAGAGCCTCTTCATCAGTCACCTCGATGACAGACACAAACGCAGCGCTTACTGGGATTTATTAGAGCACGTGTAAATAACTGTGGAGGAGACAACTACACAATGCTTCACTATCTTCAAAATGCACCATTGGCCTACTTTGTTTTAAAAAATGATTGATTAAAGTTGTATTTTCACCTTTTATAATAACCAAGGAATGGATAAATGTTATGTCGTATTTGCATGCATTTGCCACCTCTCCGTTCCCTCCTCCCACATTGCCTGTTTTCATCTTCGAACCGATATTATGCCCTTCTTTTCATGCCTTCCCTCTGCTCTCATGTCTCGTCTCAACTAATACCTCCACCGTCTGCTCGGGCATTGGCTGCAGTAGTTGATGTCGCTGGTCTTGTTGATTGACACGTTGCAGCTGTTGTTGTTGTTGTGCTTCTCGTTGCAGACTGTCTGGCTTGATCTGCACCAGAGGCTAACAGACACAGATGGTACTACCAGCGCCGTAAGTAGACACCAAAGGCACCAGCATTGTACATTACACTGCCACGCACAGCCCCGGGGGCATCACTTAGTCCTGCCCTTGAAATGCCAACAAGTAGAGCAGCAGCGGCTCAGGCTGTGTTACAAGGCTGGGCCTTTGTGATGTAATTAACACAGGAGCACACCAAAAATAATCCAGGTCTCACCACCTGTCCCATGGGCTCTGGACTTTTGAATGATTTGTTTTCCGTTGTCAACACCTTAGACTGACTACCGTCTTAGTTTAGTCTGTGTAAAAAATAGCGGACCAACCGACCAACATTCGCTTCCCTGGAGCCATTTCTGCTGAGAGTGATAAAAAGTACATATGGCCCCAGATCCGTATCACAAAGAGTTAAAAATCTGATTTTCTTCTGCCTGCAGGAGACCAGCATAATAATCACTTATTGCCCATTTACCCACAGCAGTCGGGCCACTTATGGCTCCCCATTAGCGGCATGCAGTGAGAGAGTGGCTTGACAAAATTGTCCAGTTGTCATGGGCACCGACACCGAAAAGGTTTTCCTAGGAGACTGCTTACATGAACTGATGAACTGACTGCTTACATGCACTGATGAACTGACTGCTTACATGCACTGAAGTTGCATGTTGTGACTTAGGATTTTCCTAAAAAAGAACGTCAAAGCAACTCCATAACCTCCCAAAAAGGCTTGTGTGTGAAACCAAGACGACGAGGAGGAGGCAATACTAAAAAAACAGAAAATGAATAAAAGGAACCAATAAAATAACGGACTTTAAAGTGCTTCATGACGATCCATAACCATTATGTCCTTTTTATTTTTACGTCAGCTTGTCCCAAGACAAACAGTGGCGCCGTGAGGGTTTCCCACCTGCCCTTAATGTTCTGAACTACACCGATGACACAGCCTTTGGGAGATTTCAGGGTTCTGGCTTTAGCCCAAGGACATTTGAACATGGAGTGAATCGCCAATCTTGGGCTACCTCTGAGACGCGGCCGCCCCACTGCAGAATGGAACAGGTAGAATAGGTGGGATTCGAAACACCGATCGCCGATCACCGATCGAAAACTAGCTTGAGTCAATTAGCTCTTCCAGGAAGCGCACACAGACAGCTCCATGCAAATATTACATAACACATGCTCCGTTCATCCGGGCGTCTCCCCTCATATGCTGTCAGCCTGTACACTATCTACCATCCAATCAGGAAATGTCCTTAAAATTCAAAAAAACTGCCTCTTGTTAATCGGGTGCCAATTAATGCTCAAGTGGCCATGTGTGTCATGTTTTTAGTTATTCGCATTTATTGAAGGCACACCTCGGTGATTAATCCCAGACGGTGCTTGCAGGCTGTTGTGCCATCTGTTAAAAGAATATGTTTTTCAAACCAGGAGAAAAGGGTTATTATCTATTTCTAATGTCAAACAAGTTAAAACAAAATACAAAACTACTGAAAAATTTGCTTTGAATTTGCATCATCCGCCTTTCACGGTTGCTTGATCCCCGTGAGCTCACTGTTCCTCGGTAAACTCCCTCTCCTGCTTCTGAACACAGATTACTTTCAACAAGGTCGTGCTTCTCTTCACCTTTACATTGATTCACTCTTCCTCCAACGACTCAATCCGTCTCCCCCGACCTTCCTTTCTTCCCCAGAAAGATTCAAACGTGATTCCCCATCATCTCCTCTCCCTTTAATAATTCCTCGTCTCCACACAAAGACGCCTCGGCGAGTCACCAACCCCTGAAAATCTCCGAATACAGAGATACTTTAAAGCAGCAGTGGTCGCGTTGAATTACCAGGTGAATTTTGTTTGTAGTGGACACTTGACAGCAGCGAGTGGCTGACTGTGGTTTCTGTCATGTAAAGTAGGTAAATCAATCATATGCACTGTATCTTATCAGTCTTTTGATCCTATGGAGGTGTAGCAGATAAAGAGAGAAGAGCAATACAATAAGCATATGAAACATTAAAAAAAGGCGAGAGGTGAGTAGGACAGATGGGAAGATTCAGGGTTATAAAAGTGAAATGAAAGAAATGAAGACGAGGAATCAGAAAAGGCACAAGCAGGTTTCAATTTCTTAGAAGAAATGTTTGTAATACAAACAAATCTGTCAGATAGATGTCATTTCCTTGGGTTTTCATCATGACATGTGGCATCTCTGCGCTGCTGTTTGTCTAAATGAAACACCAAATTAAGACACTCAGAGCAGAGAGAACAATCCCACAGTAACACTTGACTATTTCCTCCTTGCAAAGCTGCAGCCACTGAACTCTTTGTCCCGTGTTTGATCTTCCAGGAGAGATCACATACATGCACTGATGTTCAAAAGCTGACCGACATGTTGTAGACCTCCACGCCAGCACATTTACCTTATTCCACCAAGACTGAGGGGCTACAGCCAACAGAGCAGTTTAGTGAGGCTGTACCTGCTCCCCCTCAAAGTCTCAGCTGTTTGCTGTCCTGAACTCTCCCTTGACATCCGGACAGCAGAAACTAAACCTACCTCACAGTTGCACTGGAGGAAAGTTTAGAGTAATTCAGATGCCTTCGCTCAGGAGCATCAATGTCCTGTGCAAATCCATCTACTGTACCACATATTGTGAAAGTCAGAGCATGGACAACATGAGGGACAAGGGTTCACCCAGTCACGCCAGAACAATCACAGCAACAACCAACCTTGCTGTGGTTAAAATAATGTTGGTCTATAGCACACTAATCATTGGGGTGAAACTTTGTGTAACACTCCCTTAAACACTTTAAGACATATATGTCAAACTCAAGGCCCGCGGGCCATATCCGGCCCGGCATGCAATTATATCTGGCCCGCGAGATCATTGTATATTATTTGTAGCGGCCGTCTGCCACTTCCTGTGTGTGATTGTTGGTACTTTTATTTTAAAATGTAATTAGCATCAGAGTCACGTGGGCAGGTGTGCAGTGGTTTATGAACGAGTGTAGGCATCTAGGCAGAGTGATGGTTGTATGGACATGGGGGTGAGTCGGGAGACGATACTTTTTGTTGACCGTATTCTACAGCGCACTTTATTGCATCGTCGCACAGCATGTATCGCTTCGCCTGCTTGGATGTTTTTTAACTTGACTTTCGGACAATAAAATCAATCAACTTCATAGGAGGAATCTGCGTCTGTTTGGAACGAGTCCACACACCAATCTCCCGTACTTAGACTCACGTGACTCTACCGGATTGTGGTCACCACATTATTGTTACTAATGTCCCGACGATGTGAAGCGCTGATAACAAAAATAAACTACAGATCCCATAATGCAACGCTTCAGCTGCCTTGCCGAGCGCTTTTCGTGGCGTTTCTGGCTGACAAAACCGCACGTCTCAATGCCGTAAACCTCCAGCTCCAGGGACGTGACCGCATGATCACTGACATGTATGACGCAGTGAAGGCATTTCCAGTGAAGCTTATTTTATGGGAGACACAAATGCACCAGTGCAACTTGCCCCACTTTCCCTGTTGCCAAGTAATGCGGCACAACGGACTTTGCTGATAAACTGAGCGCACTGCGCACGGAGTTCGCACGGCGCTTTGGTGATTTTGAGGAACAAAAAAAATGTTTTGAGTTGTTTCGCAACCCATTTGCCGTCGACGTGGAAACTGCACCTGTGCAGATTCAGATGGAGCTGATTGAGCTGCAGTGTGATGGGACACTAAAGACAAAGTACGACACTGTTTAATCACTCCATTCCCGCAGCAATGCCCCAGCTCCGTCTACATGCGGCTCGAACCTTGTGCATGTTTGGTAGCACATATCTGTGTGAGAAGCTGTTCTCAGTGATGAAAACAATACCGCACACAGGAGTCCCCAGTGAGCACAAGACGTAATTTCAACGTTGAAATATGGTTGAAATCGGGTTGAAATGAGGTCTGAACGTCTAAGACCTCATTTCAACGTCTTTTCAACCGGCTAAAAATGGGATAAAACATCAACGTGCCAGAAAACATCAATTTGTTGACAAATGTGTCATGATGTAATGTAAGGTTGAAAGATAGACGATATTAACGTTAAGATTTTCATAATAATTAATGAACTGGTCGGCGAAATTTGGTCTACGCGAAGACGTAATTTCAACGTATTTAATATTTCACTTAAAACGATCGTCTCACTGATGAGCACCTTCAGTCCATCCTGAGAGTCTCCACAACACGGGACCTCACGAAAAACATAAACCAACTTGTTGCCAAAAAAAGATGCAAAGCATCCAGCTCTGATAAAATGGCATAAGAGCAAAGAAAACTGAATGTTTTGCATCGTTATTTGTTATTTCTGAAAAGCACAAATTTTATTTATATTTCCAGGTTTTGTTTTGTTTTGCAGTATGTTCATATTTCTAACTTGTATAATTTTGACAGGAGATATTTTTATGGAGAGTAAAATCATTTGTGATATTTAAAATCTAAGGTTTTTTAATATAAAATGACAAAAGCAAAGAAACTCAAATGTTTTGATTTGTTATTTTAATGTTTACTTAAAGCACAAGCACTGTCACAATTTTTATTTATTTTTTCAGGCGTTCTTTTGCAGCATGTTCATATTTCTAACTTGTATAACTTGTATAATTTTGACTGGATATATTTTTATAGAGAGCAAGATATTTTAAGTTATTTAAAGTTTAAGTTTATTTATTGCAGAATAACATTCCTGTCTGTTTGTATTTATATTTATGTTAAAAGAAACATTTAGTTTTAGTGTGTTCAATAAATGTTTATTCTGTTCGGCCCGCGACCTGAAGTGTGTTTTGAATTTTGGCCCCCTGTGCAATTGAGTTTGACACCCCTGCTTTAAGACATCATGCCAAAGACTAAGAGATGATTCTTTCCAAAATCAGAACAGATCAGCAAACAGATGAATAAAAAGCAATGTGAGGGAAACCAAAGTCAACATTTAAAAATAAGCCTGCCAAGACTAACAAGTGTTGGTGGTGAGAGAGGCTACAGAGGAACATGTAGGCTAAAATAATGTGGGGTTAATTA